TTTTTTTTAAAGATTTATTTATTCGTGCATACAGAACTGGGGTACAGGCCAGAGATGTGGAGGGTGAGAGGATTCACCAGGGACAGAGTGGGGAGCAGAACAGGCAGATCGACGAAGTACACTGCTGAGGGGAGCAGCGGGTGGATCAGGAGAGGTCTGCCACACCATGTGGTCACCTCCAGGGCAGGCGGGAATCGAACTCATGCGGAAGTGGCCTTAGATTCTCAGTGCTGTGCTTTAACCCGCTGCGCCACCAGGGAGGGCCTACACCCCAGTTCTTTTGTGCAAAAAAACAAAAAAATGTGGTGTTGACATAGAGCACAGATAAATGTAATAGTGGAACTTAGTGTGGCAACTGGTGACAGATCTATGCATATTTCAAACTGGATGTGAACAGAGGTGGCTGTGTCAGTCTCATCAGGTTGAGGTCGAGTGAGACTAGACCTAATAAACCAGCAGGAAACTGCTGAAGAATTAAAGTGATGTCATTATTTCCTGTTGTATGACAGTGAATTCCGGGTGAATACAAAAACTATAAGAAGAAGCATTACTAAGCTTTCAAAAGAAAGTAACTTCTTCTTAATGATAAAATTACTGTTGCCACATGGTTCTCTCCTGTCACAATTGTAGGAAAATTGGTGAGTGGGGTCAGAGCTGTAAGGGAGCCATTTTGTTTCTTTTTGAGTTTTATCCAAAGGAATTGGAATTATATTGCCTCTGTTCAACATGATTGAGCAGTTACTTAAGTTTACAGGACAGCAGAATTTTCTTTTTCTTAAGAGAAGGAAACATTCTCTTTATGACTCTGGAATAGTATCTGTTCGATAAGAATGACAACTTGTAAAGGCAAATGTTAGTAAACTGGACTATCCTAATAGTATAATTATTATTCATTATCAGAAAACACACTATAACTTGGTAAAAAGAAAGACTGTAGACTTTAACACATCTAAAATTACAGTGTTACTATCCAAAATGTGTAAAGGAGAGCTCTAAATCAGGATGAAAGACAACCTGATGGTAAATGAGCAAAGGCTATGAATGCCAGTAAAGGAAACCGCATGGTCTGCCAAATGGAAGATGCAGCATCACGCTCATTCAGTTGCTACCACGTCTCAAGTTTGACACAGAAGGAAATGTTTGCAGAGGTGTGGGGAAAAGAGCGCCTTTGGGGGCAGTTTGAAGCCTAGCAGGTACAGCTATAGGAATCTAGAAAAATTTCAAAGGCAGTCTGGGAGGCACGTGATACTCTAGTCCTGTATGAATAGTATGATGTTTTGAAATCCAAATGCCTGTTACAGGAGTGTGGGTCCGTTTCCATTTGTGGTCTGGTTACATGATGTAGGAATTAAAATGAACTATAGCTAAGTGTATTTAAGTGAAGAAACCTCAGCAATGAAGTTTACTTTTAAAAATGCCCAATAAAGCCTACAGTAGTACCATTTGTATAGCATGTGCTAACTCTCGAATAACCATTTTATTTGTGGAGACACACTTGTGCATAAACAGCCATGGAGGTGCTCAGTGACACATTCCAGGTACTGTCTTGGAAGGGTATATGAGATAGGTATTTAGGTCATATATTTATGGGTGCGTGTTTTAAGTATCTGAAGTAAATGTAGTCAGATGTTTGGATTTGATAAATCTGATTGGTAGGTAAGTGGGTGGTTATAATATTTTCTTTAATAAAATATTTCTTTTTTTTTTAAGATAAAGAAAGGAATCCTAATACACCTGCGTCTCTAGGTTCTCTGTTTCATTCTGGTTGGATTTTAGTTTTACATCTTCCTGGTTGGGCACCTTAGTCTCCTAGGAAATGTGTCTGGAGGCTTATTTACTTAGAACTCCCCCTTAAGCACCTGCCCTTCCCCCAGCAAATGGCCTGTCCCAGGGCATCTGTGAGTACCCACAAAGGCCATAGCAGAACAGCTGGTTAGGATGTGTCACAGCCAGCCCCAAGGGGCTTACAGTGCTTCATTAGACTCGACTAGTTGGCCTCAATGAGTTAGTAAATGTAGTCCATGTCTAAAGAATTTGGGACTTCCACTTATTTTTGTTCCTGAATCCTTACCCGCTAGGAACAGAAGAAAAGCCACTCAAAGGACCCTGGCGATGGGTCAGTGAGTAGTCAGCCAGCCAAGCCTGGGAGTGCTGCCCAAGCCTCTGGGTGGCTGCGGGCTTCCTTCTCTTGTGGGGGTGGGTGAAGGGGAGGGAAAGGTTCACCTTTTTGCTTGACACTCTAAACATACTTGCAATAGTAACTAAAAATTCACACTTCATAAAATAGTTTCTGGAATTGATAGAATGTTGGTCTTTGTGGTCAGGCCATACAGGATATGGGTGGGCACCCATCTGGCCTCATTCTTCTCCCTCTTGGGGAAAACCCAAAGGGAGATTCCAGCTGGGGCTACTTTTTAGATGATGGGGTTTTCAGAAGCAGAACACCCAAAGTATTGATCTGGAGCACAGTTGGGGGTCATCACCGGCTTTATTGTCCTTGGGAGTCAGGGATTTCTTCAGGATATTTCTGCCCCTCCAGGCTGACTACAAAACAGGAAGACTGTCAGTTTGATTTCTCTGCTGCTCTGGTGATAAGACTTTGTAGTCTTAAATGTCTTTGTGTATTACTAGTTAAGACTAGGGCATTTCATTTGCCAAAGAAAGAGTGCTTTTAAAGATGTTCTAACTCAGAAATTAGTGGTGAGGATATCATTTTTTTTTTTAGAGCAACCTGTTCTACATATGTTTGGAAGACACATTTATGCTGCTTTCAAACATGGAGCTGCATGAGCTGCAGAGGAAAAATATCCTCCAAAGTTTGCTTTTCTCAATGCTGTGCTTCCAGTGGGGCTCTATTTTTGTATCCCATGTTTGTGAGTAAGAAGCAAAGCTGACTTTTTAACTTTGGCTTTTGTGCTTACACCAGGAGGCAACCCAGCACCTACAGTGCTCACTGAGGAACCCACTCTGCCTGTGACTCTGCAGCTCCACCAGAGGCATCCCTCAAGCACATCTTTGGGAGCTCATCTGGGGTTTGCAGAGCCTCAGCCAGGGTGACCAGACCCCTGTGGTTCTGCTGCCTCCAGAGAAGAGGGAGTATTTCAGAGGATTATTGTCATCTGAATGGACTGAAGGTAGTTTTTAGCTGGTAGATGCCCACCAAGATGGGGGGTTGACCATAGAATGTTTTGGGCCTTCTTGCCCACTCTCTCCCAGTCACTGGAAACCCTCCAGGGCCAAGCAGACTAGTTCCTTTTCAGCAGGTAGTTGTGGAGTGTTCCTGGAAAGGTTGATTTGGGAGCACCTCTCATGACTGTCATACATGAGGGAAACTGACAGGGGATCACAAAGTCAATACCCCAGGCCAGAGATCAAAATCCACTTGCTCAGGATTTGAAAACTTCAAGAGCCTATGTCAGACTTTGTAGATCTTGCAAACCATGGGACTGTAGTTTAAGGGGAAATGTCACCTCTACAGCAGGCTGTTGGAAAGCATGTGCTGTGAAGTGTTTGTCATGAGTTTATTGAGCCCTTTTCCTGCAAGGGTTTCAGTAAAAAGGCAGAGTGAATTCATTTGTTTGTTCTACCTTAATAGTGACTTTTCTTTAGAACATAATGCTAAGACCTTTAAAACAATTTCTTTTCTCAGTCCCTTCGTTAAGGCTCACTGATGTCAAGATTTGGATTTTATGATTGTTTAGAAAATTCCACTCTCCATTCCTACTCAAAAAGGAACCTTAAGTACTAAGTCATTGATAATCCTGATCTCAGCCTACCAGTGTGCCTAGAGATTTTAGGGGGTAATCATTTGCCTTTCTCCCCTCACTCCCCTCCACTTGCCCTTACCCTCCTTGCTCATATTTGGCTCGCTAATTCCATCGTTCAACCTCTTTAGTGGGGCGAGGCTGTTTCTCACTCTCTAGGGCATTGAGAATGTAATAATAGCATCAGAATTAGTTGAGTGTCTCATAAACACCTTGCTGTTCCTCACCAAAGTCGAGCTTAGCCTCTGCTGTGCGCCAGGAAGAACCTGGCTGGCTCTGCCCCTTCCGACTTCAGTCCATGGCAGTGCAAGGGATGGTTCATCCTCTTGGATTGTGTCATCACCTAAGCATCCCTCCTTTGGGCAAGACTTTGTCCTGGACACCACCCTCCCCTTGCTTTCAGCCTGTAAAAATTTACTAAGCCTGAAGTCTTTTACTTAGTGGAATTCCTGAGATGGATGCTTCTGTTTCCTGTGTGCAAGCAGCAGATTCTTCCCATAGCTCTTCAGTAGCTTTCACTGGTAGAAAGCCATTTTCCTCACCAAGTCCTTTATCATGTTATAGGCAAAGGTTTGCTTCTCTGGATAGTGTATTTATTGGCACTGGAAAAGAGGAGGTCAGCAGGATAGAAACATGATGTCAAGTGCTTGCTGGCCATGATGAGTGTGGCCACAAACCTGCAGATGTGTTTGGTTTGGCTCATGTGGTATCTTAAGTCACTCAGTTTTACATTGAGAAAAAAGATTGTTAGCTTAACATGAAAAGTAAAGGATCCTTCAATACGTTCATTGCTATAACAATCAGGTATCCCTAGGGGACATCTGTTCCTTAACTGAGTGAGCATTTTTACTGCAGTTCTTACCCTTCCCCATTGTCTCACACCTGCCTGTGTCTATGCTCATGTGTCTTTGAACCCTGCGGCGTATTGAATCGGGATAGTGGCTTCTAAAATACCTGGGTTGTATGTAATTTAGTTACAGACCTACGATTTGCCATCACTCTATTGCTTTGCATATCCTGGCTTTAAATATGGATTGTTCACATCTTGTGTAAAAATTATTCATTTCTAAAGATCCACAGGTAAGAATGTGTGATATCTGAGTTTGTCTGGGTTTGTTCATTACTTTATTCGTCTGAAAAATTGGTGAGACCTTAAATTTGATGGCTAGGGTGAGGATGGAAATTATCAGGAGCCTGAATTTCTACAAAAATTAATCTGCATGTATGTTTTGGCAGGTGAAATAAAAGTGCGCCAGGATGGATATTTACGACACTCAAACCTTGGGAGTTGTGGTCTTTGGTGGATTCATGGTTGTTTCTGCCATTGGCATCTTCCTGGTGTCTACCTTTTCCATGAAGGAGACATCATACGAGGAAGCCCTAGCCAACCAGCGCAAGGAGATGGCAAAAACTCACCACCAGAAAATAGAAAAGAAAAAGAAGGAGAAGACAGTGGAAAAGAAAGGAAAGACCAAGAAAAAGGAAGAAAAACCAAATGGGAAGATACCGGATCATGAGCCAGCCCTCAACATGACCGTCCTCAAAGACACTGTGCGGGTTCCTGCAGTGGTTGTGGCTCCAACCCCAGTCCAGCCCTCTGCAGTCATTGCCCCTGTGGCCACAGTATCAGCTATGCCCCAAGAGAAGCTGGCCTCTTCCCCTAAGGACAAAAAGAAGAAGGAGAAAAAAGTGGCCAAGGTGGAACCAGCAGTCAGTTCTGTAGTAAATTCCATCCAGGTTCTTGCCTCTAAAGCTGCCATCTTGGAAACCGCTCCCAAGGAAGTACCTATGGTAGTTGTGCCCCCAGTGGGTGCCAAGGGTACTCCAGCCACTGGCATTGCACAGGGTAGAAAGGCAGAGGGGAGCCAGAACCAGGGCAAAAAGGCAGAGGGGGGCCAGAACCAGGGCAAGAAGGCAGAGGGGGCCCAGAACCAGGGCAAGAAGGCAGAGGGGGCCCAGAACCAGGGCAAGAAGGC